AGGTTCAATGAGAGTCAATAAATTGATTATAGCCGTTTTTGGAAATCTATATCGTGCTAAAACCATATCATCTGTCATTGTTTCCAATGGATTTTGCCTATCTCTGAATACTCGTTCTCTTTTGAATACTCTTGCTGCTAAAATCGTTGCTATTGCCATTTTATTTTTCCTTTTTTAAAGACTTTTACAAGGAAATAACGTTTTTCAGTTAGGTAAGATCAATTTTTTGACTTAAGTCATACATAGGGTACCTGTTCGGTCTCCTAAGTTAAGCAAAATATTAAGTCTGACTTAAGTCGAAAGTCGTACTTAAGTTTTTTGATGAAACTGGCCCCTGGCACGTTCTTCGCTCACCAACGCTCGCTTTTTTACTTTTCGACTCTTTTGATCCTTTTGATAAATTTTCTTTCAAGTGTATCTAGTGATATAACTGTCAAATGGAATGAACAGGAAAACCAACTGCATATCCTTTAGACAGAAAGTTTTTATGTATCCATCGCATAAATTCCTTGTTATTGTTTCTCCCCTGCTTCTATGTAATTTGCAAGCGCTTCCGAGCGGCGCAAAAACAATGCATAATAAAAAAAAAGAAAAAAAAAGTTGTGTCGATTTCAGAAATACATTGGCTTTTGCCATGGAACTACATGCAAATATAGCCATTGTCCTGATGATGGAACAGAATTTACTAATAAAAATCTTTTTAGTTTACTAACATCTTAAACATATTTTAACTTTAAAGGTTCAGTTCCGTTTTACAAAAAATATAAGAGATACGTAAAAATAAGATAAGGAAATAGTCAAATCTGAAATGCAGCATGGCCAGACCTGTCTCCTAAAGTGTTTTAAGTATGCCATACTTAAAGCCAGAAGGCACATAGTTTGTATGGCTAATTTATTTTATCAAGGGCAGACTAAACGTGTGGTGCTGACCAATAAAGAATAAAATAGTGTATGATTTATTAATGCTGACGAGTTCCAAAATCTTCGTCAGTACATTAATACTAGCGCAATAAAGCATATATCGGCGTGGCCAAATGCTTCGGAGTTCCCTCTTTTTGGCTTCTATGAGTCATATCTTCCAACCGATAAAGTATATAGTTCTGAAATTTTTACCATAGATAGAAGACATGGAGTTCTACTTCTTTTAAAACTTTCAGCCGGTTTGGATCATTTGCTGGAGATTTATAAAAAAAATAATAGCCGTTACGGAATTCTTAAAAATGAAATTTCTTTTAAGAAATGTTGAAACTTTACCCTTCGCTACGAAAGCACTATATGAAGAAATGTTCCAAATAAGAGTTGTCCAGATTTCGACCAGCTTTCAGAATCGCTAACTGGTTTTTACATTCGTTCACAAGATCACGAAAAATGTCAAAATACATTCCGTTACGGAATTCCAGCTTTTTTGTAACTTTTCGAGCAAGAGATTCTTTAGCTTCGAAAGTTAACCTTTTCTAAGTCAGGATTTTTGTTTGTTTTGACAGTTTCTGTTCTACAATCTAATTTCGCATGATTCTGCTGATTTCTAAATGATTATTCCCAGAAAATGAATAATTCGACTATTTAGAGTTGTTAATATCTAACTTACGAGGAGACCTCGCGAACTGTCATATCGATTTTTCAGCCAAACCTAGTGGGTTATAGGTTATCAACTATGCTGAATCCGAATATAATAGCAGGTCTTCAGAGAGCGGTTTTCTCGAAAACCAATTTTTCAAAAACTCTAAAAGGTAACCAAAATCTTTCTTAGTGAGCCATGATTGTAGTCCGCAAATTTCTGATTAAAATGAGATATCTCCAGCTCCACACGAGCTTTATTGCAAAGTTATAGAATTTATAAGAAAAGTCCTAAATGTTCATTGTCATCTCATAGCTACAGAAGTAAGAAGAAATTAATTTAGGGCTTTTGTTGTAAATTCTATAACTTTGCAAAAAAGCTCGTGTGGAGCTGGGAGACATCTCATTTTAATCAGAAATTTGCGGGCTACAGTCATGGCTCACTAAGAAAGGTTTTGGTTACCTTTTAGAGTTTCTGAAAAATTGGTTTTCCAGAAAAGCGCTCTCTGAAGACCTCTGTGATAGTCAGATTCAGCATAGCTGATAACCTATAACCCACTAGGTTTGGCTAAAAAATCGATATGACAGTTCGCGAGGTCCTCTCGTTAAATTTAAGAGTTATTCTGCGTGCTCGACTTTCTTTTAATAATTTTTATTATAAGATATAAATGTAGATTGATAACAGCGAGTTTCGCATCAGTTCCAATCGGCAATGATTCGCATAACCTTTGACCGATCGACAGATGTGAATTATTAGTCGCTTATCAACTGTTGTAAATAAACACTTTGTTCATTGCATTACTTTAAACATATGGTTATTAAACTTCTTGATGAACGTTGCACAAACAACACAGACGTCTCCACTACTTTTCTCTAATTTTATTCATTGTTATATCCACAAAAAGGTAGAATAATATATTAGTACGAAATCATTTGATTTGATTTTTACAAATTCAACAGGAATAGCTTTTTGAAAGGTGTTTAACATTTGTGAAGTCTATCAGAAAACATGATGAGTGTGCAGTGGGAAGACTTATTTCTGTAAGTTCCGTAGTTCAGTGGTTTGTGCCTCGATCTTAGAATTCATTCTGGTCAGGCGTCCAGGTTCGATTTCTGAAGGAGCTGTTCTTTTTTCTTCCCTTTCAAAGTAGACGGTTTTTATTGCACAGTTCATTGCACAAGTTTAAGCATATGGTTATAGAACTTTTTGATGAGAGTTGCGCAAACAACACAGACGTCTCAGTTACTTTTCTCTAATTGTATTCAAGTTAAAAAAGTGGCACTTATCTTGTTCTCTTTATCAAGTGATATTATCATTGGACACAAAAATAAATGAGCCCGGAAAAAAGAGAGAATTAATCCCAGTTGCTTTAATTAACAAAAAAGAGATGGAAATGAGCCCGGTTCAAAAAAGAAAAAAGAAGCGCGTATATATAATCGTGATTTAAATTAAGCATTATTATGTAGTACGTATATAACATTATCAATTCAACAAAAAAATATCACGCAATTTAATAAATACAAAATAATAACAATGCTTTTCTTACCCTTTTGTTAAAGCTGCTTTTACTTTTTTTGGTCTACCTTTTCCTTTTCTTTGACCAATTATTGGTGGACTCGTTTGTTTGTTAGGAAAATTTACAGTTTTTGAATCTGGATTACATGATCATAGTCAAAGACAAGAAAATAATCGTCTTAAATCACCAATTCGTACTGCTGTGTAAGAAATGTCACATATCAATATCTTTTACTTCATAAAATGGTACAAAAACCTGATAGAATTGGTCAGGTGGTGGACAATTAATTCTTTCATTACATCATAGTTGTGGACATTTTTAATTTTTGTATCAGTTGTTAAATTAGGATGCAATACTGATACAGCTGTACGAATTTGACCTTGTATTAAACCTTGATGTGTCATTTCTTGCACAGCAGTACGAATTGGTGGTTTAAGACGATTATTTTCTTGTCTTTGACTATGATCATGTAATCCAGATTCAAAAACTGTGAATTTCCCTAACAAACAAATGAGTAAAAGTTAAGTATTTTTTATTTCTCTTTCAAAAATAGTTATAACTATACAAAAATTACGGTCTAACTGTTTAGCTTTCAATTGATAATGACATTGTGGATATTTTCTATACTCTGAACATTTATATGTTATAGATACACTACTTGTAAGCTCTTCAGTACGATGTGTACAAACATTTTTTTCTCGAACAAACACTTTTAGATTTTCAGTAGTACATGTAAAACATTCATGCCATAATCTTCGAGACATAGATTGTAGAAAAAAATATAAACTAATTCCGGATATCTTCCCATTTTTTATTCCCAATTTATATATATATATGCGATGTGTATATAAGGTGTATATATATGCGCTTCTAAGATTGATTTTAAAAGAATGCTCTTAAACTGATCATTTTTTTATATATTTAACAAATCTAAATTACCGGACTCATTTCTCTCTTTTGTGAAGATAAATTTTTTCTTTTTTGAACCGGGCTCATTTTCATCTTTTTTTTGTTAATTAAAGCAGCCGGGATCAATTCTCTTTTTTTTCCGGGCTCAAAACTTATTTTATCCATTATCATTATAATGACAACAGCTAATATTATTCTATTGACTAATAATAGTCTTCGTACAAGTTGTGCAAAATAAATATAGCATTGACATAAAATGGTGACTGATGTGAAAGGAGGTTTGTTGTTCTAGAACGTGTGTTACTAAATAAATTATATATTGAAAAGGAGTTCGAATTCCAAATTGAACATTCCATTATTTGCGATTAGAGATTTTTCAGTAATTAAAATATATGAGAGAATCATCTAAATAATAAAATACACGATGAAAATACCTTTTTTCCTCCGCTTTGCTTTTACCTTCTGTGAATACACACGTAGCCGTGTTATGTTTAAATGTTTCATGTAACGAATAAAAGTCGTAAATATTTTCATTTTCTCGTCGATGTACACGAATATGAATAAATAGACCATCACCAATTGATACTTTCATAAAATAATTGATACCATATGCAGCATCTTCTTCAGCATATTTTATTACACTAATAAAAACTAAAAACAAAGATAATCGATTTTTTAAAAAGAAAGAATTCATCTCATACGTCCAAGCACTTAAATGTCCTTCTTTATGTGCTTCTGTAAAGTGATGAATACGATTTTCTCGATGTTTTTTGTGTAATGCATTGATAGCAGCATGTTTGATTTCAGGACGTTCACTATAAGTAGAAATATATAGAGTCGCTGTTCAAGATTAAGACGTTACACTTTTACCTTATTTCTTGAATTTCAGGCGTTGCATCCTATAGAAAATTTGAATCTAATTTAAAAGTCTATGAGGCAGAGAAAGATTACTAACCATAACTGGACCCATATTATTCACACGTGAATCAGACATGTTTTGAATAGTGATGGATTGAACAGAATGTTTGTTGTGTGTTATAGATGTTTCTTCGTTACTTAGTGTGCCGTATTTTTCTCTTTCTCTTTTTATTATTTAATGGAAAAATTGAAACATTTATATGTGGTTAAATCAATTCTTTTTCTTTCATCGTTTCACTCTTGTATTTTTTATTTTAGTATAACAAAAAGAAAAATACTGGTTAACAACAGCGGTCTTGTAACTAACAAGACCTTTTTTACCTTCAATAAGTAATGAAAAAAATATCTATAATACAACAAACATTCTGTTCAACCCACCACCCTTCAAAACATGTCTGATTCACATGAGAATAATCTGGATCCAATCTGTAGTTAATTAAAAACATAAATTACATTTTAAACGTATATATAAATATGTGAGAGAATTACATTGTGATGTACCGTTTCGAAAAAAAATCGAAAAAAAAACAATTTACAAATAAAAAGTTCCGAACCATATATTAGATAGTACTACTTTCGAGGTTTATAGCAAAAAAAATTTCCCAGCACTTCGTCGTACATTGGCTGAGAAATTTGATTTTTATTCGATTGTTTCTGAAAGAAGCTAGCTGATACGGAATTGGTTTTCTTTTCGAGATCCGAAGAGTAATTCGCACTTGACGTTGTCTTTCTGTTCTGTTTTATTTCTGTATGACTCACATACGAGTTTTGCGTAAGAAATACAGTTCTTTCGTAATTCGTATTGTTATTGTGTAATGTTTTTGCCAGTATATCTTGGAGTTGCTTTTCATCTTGTCTTTCAGTATACGTCTATAGCAGGGCAAAGTTTCTTGATGTTGTGTTTCATGCGTTATCATGTATCTACAATTTTGTCTAACGGAATTGGTTTTCTTTTCGAGATTTGAAGAGTAATTCGCACTTGACGTTGTCTTTCTGTTCTGTTTTATTTCTGTATGACTTACATATGAGTCTTGTGTAAGCAATACAATTCTTTCGTAATTCGTATTGTTATTGTGTAATGTTTTTGCCAGTATATCTTGGAGTTGCTTTCATCTTGTCTTTCAGTATACGTCTATAGCAGGGCAAAGTTTCTTGATGTTGTGTTTCATGCGTTATCATGTATCTACAATTTTGCTAAGTTTTACGCAATTGCCTTCGTCTAATAGAACGGTCCGTAAACGGTGTAAAAACGGTGATTATCCCGATGACTGTTTACTAGGCACTTTAAACGGTTAAATAATGCGGAAAACGATGACCGTTTACGATGATCGTTTCCGTAGTGTCGTAAACGTCAATCGTAACAATGGCTGGTATTTTTAGTCTTTACACCGTTATTCTAAAATGTCTTGGAACATGTTTCGGCCGCTCGATTAACGCGACTTTTTTTGCGTTCGTGCATATGCCGGCAAAGGATTCTTTTTTATTTATTGATGTGAGGTCGCTAGAAACTTTTTCGAACCAGTTCTGATATCTATCGATAGCTCTCGAATTTTGTCCTTTTATTCCACGGCTAATCATATCAAACTTGTGACCTGTCTGATCTCTTTCACTGTGACATTTTCCCCGTCTACAGTTTTTCAACTTTCTCTTCTCTCGCACTGATTCATTTGCTCTTCAATCTGATTCATGCGGTCTACTTTTGTCTTTCTTCTCAATCCTTCTTCTGGACATTCTACCCTTGACAGATCCCAGTGATACTAGTTTGTGTCTAAAACGAAAAAAATAGTGTCTTTTTTAGAGCATCGCTTTCTCTCTTTTATTTGATGTGCTTTTCATATGAAAATAACATAATTCAAAGAAGAATAAATACGATAGTGGGTGTTTAATAGAATCAAGGTGAGTGTGAGGGGAGGGAAGAATATGCTATAACTGTTAACGGAAAGTAGATGGAAGGGTTAGTGATTCGTTGTGTGTAGAAGAGAGAGTAATCGGAGAAATAGACACGTTCATTAAATAAGAACTTAGCTTGGATACCCCTTCCTTAAAATGAATAGAAAAATTTCGAAGGCCTGACAAATCTACCTCTGTTACCGGAGAATGATCTGAAATGGCCTTTTCAACAGCAGAAGTTAACTGAGTGGTCGTTAGCACAATAAGAGTAGTGAGTACTTGCGAGATTTTATCGATTTTTATCTGATTCACTTGCATAGAAATAGAAGTTGTATTAAGTTCTTTAGCCAAATCAGCAGGCTCACTGCGACTGTCGTTATCAAGGTCACTCAGTTGTTTGGAAATAGAATTAAAATCAACGGAAGAGGATTGCTGTACAAAAGTAGAGCTGTTTATAACTAAAGGTCTCACATGAGGAGCTTGTTTTACGATAGAACTATAAGTGCGAGCATTAGATGTTTGTTCAAACTGATGTGGACGAGATACTATTTCTTTAGTGATAGTTTTAGATTGGAAATGTTCGACGGATTCGGCTGGTTTTGTGGTGAAAGTTGATTTATCCGTGATCGAAAGATTCTCGGTACACGGCATTGTGCACATCACTTCTTCATATGATTTTCATGCCCTGTGAAAAAGGTCTTGACACAATGAGTGACCCAAAATGCGTTAGAATAAACTGGAGAGCTCAACATGGCGCTTATTTCGTATTTAACGAAGCGAAAAAAAAGACAGCTTTTTCGAATTTTATTGTGTGCTGTTAACTATAGTAAATATCTGTTTTGGGCTCCAAAATATCACTTAAAATTTTATTAGCGCCAATAGTATGGCTTTCGATTTGCATATTTTCTTCTTTTACGTCGCCCTCTCGATTAACTACCGACAAATTTTGATTTACGTTACCTCCTAAAGATGGAGATGGAGTCAGCCCATGCACCGGTGTTTTTTTAATACGAGTTTTCTTCACTTTCTTCTCTTTACCAGACATTTTCAAATATAAGCATATATAGAAAAATTTTTCGATTGATTTTTCGATTGATACCATTCAAATCGTTATTTTACGAATAATCTATCTTTTAAATAATTAGCACTGTAAGACTTGTTCTACGAACAGGATGTTGAAAAGTGTGTATTAATAATAAAAAAGCAAAGAAAATTTCATTAAAAAGTTTTTAAAAAACGTGGTGCGACAGAAAATTTTGGTATGAGATGGCCCTGTAAAAATGTTTTGATTCGAAACCCCAACTATCGCATCGCATATAGGGTGAAAGAGTTCGGCCAGCTGAGTATTTTTTGTGACGAAACTTTCAAAATGACCCAAAATTAACAAGTTGGCTCGACTATAACTCTTCACAGTCGCACTTAAAGGGCCATGTTCCGTCACAAAAAATATTCAGCTCGGCGAGCTCTTTCACCATAGCTAAGATAGTTGGGATTTCGAATCAAAACATTTTTATAGGGCCGATTTTTCCATCCTTTCTGTCGTTTCAAAAGTTTCTTTTATTTTTTCAGTGCAATCAAAATATGGTGTCAGATAGTGAAAATTATTATTTTGACTACAAATCAAGTCAAAATTCTTCCAGCATCGATTATCAAATCGATCTATTCGAATTTCGTCAACATATCAAGTCCAATAAAACCAAACGACAAATTAAAAAACCTTCATGTTCAGTCCCGAAGAAAACTCTCAAGTCCTTTCCAACGCTTGTCAAAGTTAAATGTGTCAACGATAAACAAACGTTAAAAGCCGAACAAAAACCGTTCCGTTACAATCGTTACCCATCGAAGGCAAAACCTTTCGATTGTGATGTACAATTTCAAGACATACCAAAGGAAACAACAGAAATCTCCCCAGCTGCTCACAATGCAATGTTAGCGTATCAGTTAAAAGAACAAAAACGAAGTCAACACAAGAGTCGTTTATGTTTTCAGTGGAATGCACAAGTTAACCATCCGAAAGTACTCGAAGCGGAACATCTGACTAGTTTTTCGTCATTTCGTCATTATTTCTATTGTGCTAATCATCAGGCAATCAAATCGTCATTCGAAAGGCAACGTGATATCGAAATCATTGATATTCGTCTTGCCTCTGTGAATGAACGTGTTCAAAATCAATTTATGGAAACGTTAAATAAAACTTTATATTTTCCATACTTAGCTTATTATGGTACAAAACTGAGCAATATCGAAAGTATTCTTCGCGACGGTTTTCTAATGCCAGACCAACTACATCTATCGAATCCCGAAGTACCTACCATTACCTTACAAAATGGTCACTTTTATGGCAGTGGTATTTATTGCAGTCGATGGGCCGGTTATTCTGCCTTGTATATGAATGACACTAATACGCTGTTGGCATGTGCAGTATTACCAAAACGTGATCAACGTGGAAAAATCGAACGCTGTTATGGAGATATATTAGTATTACAAGACGCATCACGGATTGTTCCGTTATTTTTACTTGATCTCAAATTTTTAACCGGCACCCGTAGAAATTATCCTCGGTTTAACGATGAAGAGGAATTAACAGCGGTTGAAAAGAAGCGAGTAAAAAAACCAACTGTTATTCCAAGAAAATATTTACGAAAAGTACTTGCTTCTATGAATGATCAAGCACGAAAGCATGATCAATATCAAGAACGATCTTTTGAATGATTGATTGATAGGTTCTTATTGTATGACATCAAATGAGCAAATTATCGGAAAGATCTCATAGCTCTGCACAAAATCATTTGATTTCAGATGATGTGATGCGCTGCAAATTCAGAGTTACAGTGACATTTCAGTTTGTGACTCAAATATACATCATTCGATGCAGAATTTTCCACTGATCACGAATATCTTACTTCAGTGCGAGTATTGAGCGAAAAAACTCGAAAAATTGAAAGTTGTCGTTTTTTCGAAAAAGCATAGTTTTTGGAAACTTTCGCAATATCTCAGCTCCACAAGGCCCTGGAACCATCGGAATGTGTTTTTCAAAATTAGCGACAAAAGTTGCATACTGTAAAGTATATTTGAAGGTTCCACTATCATAAAAAGTATTCGCCTCCTCGTCAAGCTTTAGAGAGCATCAATTTCGACCCGCTCCGTTCGCAAACCTATCACCGCCCTCAGTTTAAATAGAAAGAACCTTCATTTTGGTGCCGTTCGAACCGCCTCCAAACGTAGACCTGCCGGTCTTTTGAAATTCCTTTCTGTAGCAGTGTTCCCCAATATGATAGTTTTACATATAATTTATATTTATATTATTTTATATTGATGGAGTTTTATATTTACTTTTTGTATAATGGTTGAATGTAGAAAATGAAATATTTAGTTGGTTAATTTTGAGATGGTGTGTTTAATGGAAAATATTAAATTTATATAATTAGCTAATAATGATAAATTTGTTTTTATTATATCTGATTGTTTGGTTGTTTGTATTTAAATAATTTTGAGTAATCTGTTTAATTTATATTGTTATTCTAATTTATTTTTTAAGTATTATTTGTAAATATTTCTATTATTAAATTTCTTAAGTTATTTTTCATATATAGTTTTAAGAAAAATTAAGCTTTTTGATTTTACTGTTTATTAAAAACATATTTTAATCATTGTTAGGTGTTTTCTGCTCAATGAATTAAATAGCTGCAGTAATCTGCCTGCACTAAGGTAACATAATCATTAGTTTTTTAATAAGAAACTTTGCTGAAAAAATTCATGTTTTCTAAATTAGAGGCGAAAAACTCAGAATTCTACTTTTAACTCTCAGTTTTCTCCATCAAAACTCAACTTTTATGCAATAAAAATACTATACTCGGAATCAGGATCAAACAATGAGTCGAATAATATGTGTTTCTATTGTATCCGACTACTTTTATTGTTTTCGAATTTCAAATTTGGGGCACCTTACCTGGTCGTACTGCCCGTCGCTCGCTGAATCTCTCGAGTTGAACTGAAGTGAATCAAGTCGAATAATTGATAAAAATCTGTGTCCCCGTTTCAGCTCTGAATAGTTGTACAATGGCAAATGACTTTGCCACAGTTTCTATTGTTATTTCCTGTTGAAGTGTTCATTGATCTTCAATTAGGCGAAGATCTTCGAGTTCATCCAATGATCGAAGTGAAAAACAAATCAACAAAGAAAAAAATTCAAAACAAAAGCGAATATTTGATGTTTTGCAAAACTTCGAAGATTCTCAGGGTTCATTTGAGGTTCGTCGTATTAGGTGGGAAAAGATCGTTTTCAAGTCTCGAAGAGAAGAATGAATTTGTCCTGTCTCGCTTGATGGAGCAAAGTTATCTCGTTCGACTTCTCGATTATCTCTCTAGTGGTGAGTAACTCGACCGAGATTCATCAAATTAACTTTGCAAGAAACGATCCAGATCGTTTCTTAAGAATCGTTTCAACATCCAAATTCTCGTGAAAAAAATAATTTGAATCTTTGCTCATTTGATCTGTCGACATCGATCAGTTCCAGATGGGAAAACTATTTAGATGAACAATTTATTGAAAATGATCTCGCAGTTGTCAAGACATCGTCTCTTGTCGATGAAGATTCGCGTTGAAATAAAATGGCGTCGTGGCCGAGTTTGAACTAATTTCTGCTGTGAACAAATTATTGGAATTTCGAAGAATGAGATTCGTGTTTCTTATCGAAAAACAACTTGATCTTATTCAAAACGAGCAAACATCGATACTCCTGACTCTTTGTTCCTAAGGCATTTTTTCGAAAAAACTTTTCCACTGTACTCAGAATAAAAATCTAACATCAGAATTGTGTTCGGCGTCAAAACTGAGTTGACCTATGCATGTATCAAATTGTTCTGGCGACTTTTATTTTCCTCGATAAATTGACCCCTAGTTCCCCCAGGGATGGGTCAGCAAATGAATTCAATCGAAACTCGGTTTTTTTATCATTCATCTGTCTATCCTTTTAGGTTTTCTTAGCTTTTTAAGAAATGGACATGAAGGTTTTCCATGCTACAAGAACTGATCGAGAAACAGGCGAGAGTCGATGGTTTAATAAGATCAAGGATCTGAGGAAAAGCGATAGTTGCTCATCGGATATGCATGATGAAATGGAATGTTCTGCTTCTCTTTTCAGATTGCTATCTATTTAGACTAGTACACACTTCGTTGCTCAGCTAGAACAAATAAGTTTTTCGCTGCACTCGCTTTTGTTTTGTTCAACGCAGTTCTTGCCATTTTCTTCTTTAGTTGCGTTTTCTTTCGATTTCTTTGTACAGTCAAATTTATTGTTCTTTGCTCATTATTTAAATATTTGCAGTATAACTGCCATAGTTTCTTTTGTGTTTCTGTGTTTCATTGTTTGTTTGTATAGTTACGTTGGTGTTTTTATTTTATTTTATTTTATTTTAGTTCAGAAACGATAAATCGTACAGAAATGCAGAATAAGAAAACATAAGATGCAGATAGTAAACCTAGATAAAGCGTAAGAAATAAAAATGGGTCATATTACTTATGTAGAACAAAGTATCTCAAGCGTAATAATCATGCTTACAGCGTTCTGAACATATTGTCCCCAACTGCATATTTAATGCATGTATGCATTAAATATGCATCATATGCCGTATACGGCATATGATGGTAATATAACTAGCCACGTTGTTGCATTATTAACTAAAAAATCAAAGATCAGTTTTGATTTCCACGTTCGATCGATACGTTCCACCTGCAAATACTTGTTGTATTACTGTCACTACATGTATGCATTCACAGTTCTTACTTTTCACTGTGATTCAGGATGATATGCATCACTTCGTATTCGACGTATGCCTCGTTCTTTGCATAATTCAGTCAACGCACGCAATAAAAAAGGCTTTTCGAAGATAATAATCTATAATTAATCATTCTAATGAATACTAATTTATATCACCCTGATGCCTTACACTGTTATTTCCAAGTTAACAGTTTATTGGAAACGATAAAGCAATACGTCATTCAACATCCGATTTGGATCAAATTTTCAGCAAATATTTGCCATTTCTAAGTGTGGTTATGAAATTTTTCTTAGGTCACTATCTCTTACCGTTTCAGGGTTGTCCAGAGTCCAAGGTCAAAAACCACCCTCTAGTGTGGAACCCTTTTTTTAAATGTACTTCAAGCTAGAGATCTCGGGTTTGTTTTATTTTAAACTAGACACCTAACTGCGTGAGGTACTGGGACCCGATTTTTGAATTAGGCTTTCCTTTTCTAGAAAACCAAGGATCTCTGGAAAACCCGTAAACATTTTTCGGGTTTTTGAGAATCTTCGATCTCTAGAAAACTAACGAAGACCTAAATCAAAAATCGGATCCAAGTACCTCACGCAGTTAGGTGTCTAGTTTAAAATAAAACAAACCCGAGATCTCTAGCTTGAAGTACATTTAAAAAAAGGGTTCCACACTGGGCATGTTCGAACAAAAACGAGTTTTGAGAAAAACGCCAAAATAGAACAGTCGTGGGTGTTTTTTGAATAACTTTTAACAGAAAGCTTCGATTTTTTCCATGCGGAAGAAGAGACTTGTGGACACGTTTCCACAAGCATAATTATTTTCTGAACAGTTTTCTGAAACAAATTTTCTAAGAGATCTTTGAAAAACCAGATCGTGTGTAAAAATTTTCGAATAGGATTGTATTGATTTTTTTTCATGGTCTGATAGCTCGAGATCTCCTCTTGAAGATGGGAGCCAAACGGCACCTTGATTTTCCGCGGCTTGAGCGCTGTATCGGATTTCCTACGAGTCTCAGGACTAGCACCTGGTGACTATTGGTACCCTTGAAAACGAATGGACTATGGGTAATCAATCATGCCGAGTCTCGTGGCAATATTTACTTTTAGAAAAAATTCCTAGAAACTATCGAAAAAGGAGTTTTACGAAAATTGGGGTTTCCAGGCTGTTTTCACTTAATATTTAAAAATTTACTGTTCGCTCAGAATACATCAGAACGAGTTCAGAACTTCAGGATATGGTCAATTCTGTCCGCTAAACGTGATTATAAGATCGACAAAACCAAAAAGCATATTTTTGTTAATGGGTCTTCCAGAAAACCTTTTGAGAAAACCTTAGAGTTCTGTAAAATCTCTTTCTAGATATCCTGTGAATAGGATATAGAACAGCCTAAATACTTTACATTCTGAAGTTTTGAACTCGTT